AAAAAAAAAAAAAAACAACAACAACAAAAAACCCTGGCCCCGGCCAAAAACTGCAAAAAACAAAACAAAACAAAAAAACTTCAGTTAGGGTACTTTAAAAACTGAGATTGTGCTTCAACTTTCATGTACTCTGTATGGTATCTAACACATAGTGTATGCTTAATCATTGATTTTTTGTGTTAGAATGGAGCAGCAACAGCAGTCATTTGGCTTATTAAAATGAGAGTATACTGACCACCTGAAATAAAGAGTTACATATTCATCGTTAAAGGTAACTTGGCTGGGTGCAGTGGCTCACACCTGTAATCCTAGCACCCTAGGATGCCAAGGCAGGTAGATTGCCTGAGCTCAGGAGCTGGAGATGAGCCTGAGCAAGAGCGAGACCCTGTCTTTACTAAAAATAGAAAAACTAGCTGAGTGTTGTGGCAGGTGCCAATAGTCCCAGCTACTCAGGGGGCTGAGGCAAGAGGATCACTTGAGCCGAAGAGTTTGGTTGCTGTGAGCTATGACTCCAGGGCATAGAGACTGTCAAAAAAAAAAAAAAATTAAAGGTAACTACATAATTACGGAGATCTGGCAGCTCCCGTAGCTCAGTGGGTAGGGCGCCGGCCACATACACTGAGGCTGGCAGGTTCGAATCCAGCCTGGGCCAGCTAAAATAAACAATGACAACTGCAACAACAAAAAATAGCCAGGCATTGTGGCTGGCGCCTGTAGTCCCAGCTACTTGGGAGGCTGAGGCAAGAGAATCGCTTAAGCCCAAGAGTTTGAGGTTTCTGTGAGCTGTGACGCTATGGTACTCTACTGAGGACAACATAGTGAGACTCAAAAAAAAAGACAAAAAACGGAGATCTAAAAAGGTGTAACTACTCTAAAGACAATGATACTTCATGTGTATACAGCAACACAGATAATATCAGAACCTTCAGGTGGGAATACTAAATTGTTTTTCATTTTGCTCTTGGATCTAGTTTAGCATCTGATGATGACCTTAAACACACATGCATTGTGTGATGTCCATCGACCTCACTACAGGGCAGGGCTTAGGGAAGGAAAGAGGTGGCATTCATACTTAGAATAATAGTCTATTTTGTGCCACCCTGTGATGGTGAGGCAATGACCTTGTACTGTTCAAGGAAAGCCATCCTAAACTTAATATAACCTGTGTTATTTAGTACTTCATAGGCCTAATTTAATTGTTAGGAGAACTATCTGTGGAAAGTACGTAAAAAGGCAGATAGTTCACAAAGGGAGTTGTGGATTTAGAAGATGTAAAGACATTACTAAATCACCAAATCTATTTATTTGTTTAGGTCTGTTATTTCTCCACTTTTCCTCTAGGCAGGGATCATTTCTTAAGTTTAAGCCCTCACCCCCCCTTTTTTATTTTGACACAGAGTCTCACTGTGCCCTGGCTAGAGGACAATGGTGCCATCATAGCTCTCTGCAACACCAAACTCCTGAGCTCAAGCAATCCTGCCTCTCAGCCTCCTGAGAAGCTGGGACTGCAGGTGTTTTTCACCACACCTGACTAATTTTTCTTTCTTTCTTTTTTTAATTTTGTAGAGACAAGTTCTCAGTATGTTACAAGCTCCTGGCCTCAAGTGATGGTGCTAGGATTATAGGCATGAGCCGCGCACCTGGCCAAGTTTATACTAAGATAAATGTCAGGGTTGTATAGTGAGGGGCTACAAAATGACAGGTAAAAATCAGCATTGGTCAGATTCAAAGTTAGGGTCCAGGCCCGGCACAGTGGCTCACACCTGAAATCCTAACACTCAGGGGTTCAAGACCTGCCTGAGCAAGAGTGAGACCTCATCTCTACTAAAAATACAAAAACTAGCTGGGTGTTGTGGCAGGTGCCTGTAGTCCCAGTTACTTGGGAGGCAGAGGCAGGAGGATCACTTGAGCCCAAGAGTTTGAAGTTGCTGTGAGCTATGATGATGCCGTAGCATTCTACCTAGGGCAACAGAATGAGAATCTGTCTCATAAAAAAAAAAAAAAAGACGAGGGGGGTCCAGATTCTTCACCTCCATTTTTTGTAGCTTATGCTCTGGAATTGAGCTTTATTTTTATTTTTTTGAGACAGAGCCTCAAGCTGTCACCCTGGGTAGAGTGCTATGGCATTACAGCTCACAGCAACCTCCAACTCCCGGGCTCAAGCAATTCTCCTGTCTCTGCCTTCCAAGTAGCTGGGACCATAGGCGCCCGCCACAACACCCAGCTATCTTTTGGTTGCAGCCATCGTTGTTGTTTGGCGGGCCTGGGCTAGATTCAAACCCACCAGCTCAGGTGTATGTGACTGGCGCCTTAGCCACTTGAGCCACAGGTGCCGAGCCTGAGCTTTATTTTTATACTCTACTGCCAGAGTGAATCAGATTAAAACACTGTGAAGCAAGAAGATTATAGTGATGGTGTGTAGTTTGGATTTGAGTTTTTATTTATTTATTTGTTTATATTTTTATTTTATTAAATCATAGCTGTGTACATTAATGCATTTATGGGGTACAATGTGCTGGTTTTATATACAGTTTGAAATACATCAAACTGGTTAACATAGCTTTCACCGCACTTTCTTAATTATTGTGTTAAGACATTAATTCTACACTTAGTAGATTTGACATGTACCGTTGTAAAATGCACCGCAAGTAAAATTGGAAGGGTTTTCTTACAGCAGCCCTAACAGATGTAGTGCAGCCTCTGTCCTTGGATCCATCTGTCACCTGCTTTTAAGGCTTGTTGGAAGTGTTACTTAAGAAGCAATGCCATTCATTTGGTTTTATTCACTATCTTTAATTTAAAAAAAAGTCATATTCACATAGCACAAAAATCCAACAGTACAAAGTATGTAGTGAAAAGACTTGCTCTAATCTCATGCCCAGTACCTGTCCATTCCAGCACCCCAAAGATTTTCTTTATGCACATATAAATACAAATAGATTTATCTTCAATTTTTATGCAATGGTAGTGTCTGACCCATACTGTTGACCTCATTCGGAAGAATTAGAAGAATGGTTCTTCTTTGAAAAAAAAATTAATTTTTTGGGGGGGGGCTTACAGAGATTGCAATGCTGTGAAATTATATTTGCCAGGCTTCCATAGTTATTTCTAGGGTCAAATGAAATAGGAAAAGACTGAAAAAAAGAGGAAGTCATACACATGCAGAAGGGAGAGGAAGAGAATGGCCCTGTGCTTTGGGAAACATTTATTTAGTTTCGGCTTTCTCAGGTTGAAAGGGAAGCATTTGTAAATGAAATGTTTATGAAAGAGGAAATTCTAAAATCAAAAATTCAGACTTAGAATAACTAAGTTGCTACAGCAACGAAAATAATCTTATGGTTGAGGTCACCACCACATGAGGAACTGTATTAAAGGGTCGCGGCATTAGGAAGGTTGAGAACCACTGCCTTCGAAATTTATTCTAAACTCTGATTCCTCAGATGACGAAACAAGGTTCAGGGATGGATGGGAAGTGACTTAGCTAGCCAGTGGCAGATCTGGAGCTAGAATCCTGGGGCTTTGATTCCCAACATAGCGCACTTTTAGCTGTTCTTTGTGCTTCACTTCACTGGTTGAGTAAATGTTCCATTCCAGGCACTGTGCCTCAGATTTGAAGAAGACACTGTCCTCTAGGACCTCACTGTCAATGGGAGTGACAGACAACGACATGAAGAATAAGTGTTGTGGCAGAAGTTTGCAGAAGGTGCTGTGGGAGCACAGAGTTGGGGCTCAACTCAGCCTTGGGGTGGGAAAAAGGCAATGGTTTAGGGTAGGTTTCCAGGAGATGTCTCCACTAAGCAGAAAAGCAGAAGGAACAGCATGAGGGTTGGGGGCATGAATCAGGCGCCTCTGTGGGAATGCTCTACAAGCAGTTCCGCAGAACAGGAGCAGAGACTTCAACGCAGAAGTAGAGGGAGGGACTGCAGAGGCTGTCTGGGCCAAGAGGAAGGGCCTCGCATATTTCCCTCAGGGAGTTAGAATTTCTCCTGAAAGTACTGGGAGCCTTGGCAGGGTAGGAAGCAGGAGAGTAAGGTGGTGACTTGTACACATGTGCCTAGCTGCTCAGCATAGGGTGATTTAAAGCAGTA